GTGACTCATTTTAGTATGCAGCTGCACGGCTACTGAGGTACAGTACCCACTTCAAAGTTTACTAAGATGTTCTACTATTTTGTAGAGCCATAGTTAGCCATAATTTCACCACAGCGCACCTTCTTACTTAATCCTTGCTTGAATAAAAGAGGCAAAATGAGTTTATCTAAAGTGCGCATATGTGGTGGTAATCGAAAACAGGAGCATTTCGATTTGGTTGTGTTGACTGGCTGGCACCGAACGAATTGGCTGGATTTTTCCGGGCGATCGTTGGTCGTGTGCGCTGATGAGTGCAGTCCTTTTCGTTTCTCTTCGCAGCAGTAGATGCGTCGGAGTTGTCACACACATATTTCCAACGGAACGGAATTCTGAATAGGCTCGCATGCAGTTGCCAGAGTAATGCACAGATTTTAGTGCTTACTTTTGACAGAGTTCCTGAACGAATGTTTTTTTTTTTTTTGAGGTAAAATATGAACTCTGTCAAGCGTGCAGTTCGAGACTGTCAGAATTGCCTCGGACTGAATGCACTGTCAACTTTTCTTCACTGAACATCCAGACCAACATCTCTCTCTTGAAATGTGCCAAAAGAAATTTCACCGTCTCAAACGGACTTCTTCCACCACTTCCGTTCTTTACTGTTATCTACTTTTTTAGTCCTTATTTGCCAGGTTAGTTTCTTTATCAGTCTGGAATAACAGTGCTTCGTGCTAACTAAGCATTCTCAATCCTTCCTTGGCCCTAAGCTTGCTGCATCTTCGACTAGATCCCAGCAGATTTGTTTCTTCTGTTGTTGACCTCTTATGCGTTCTACCTCCATCCGTTCGTCGTTCTTCGAAAACTTTATTCATATTGGTTCTATTCCTATGCATAAGCGTTGCACTGTGCTGCGTAAAAAATCAGTTATTATTCCAGTAATGTTAGTTATAAAAATAGCGTAGAATAATATTTTATGCGTCGCCCGTCTGTATATTTTTCTCTTCAGCTGTGGAAGGACCTTTACGGAAAATAGTTCTACGTCGGAGCTGTAAGAAATTTCACTGCTAGGCCATCTACGTTTCGCAGAACGATAAATATTCTCGAGTTCTCAAATTTTTCTAGTTTGGTGTAGCATGTTATTGAATTGGTGCCAACGGACAAGTAACCGAACAGTGTGTCGTAAAAAACCTTGTTTGTGACGCTTTGACGGATTCATCAAAAAATGATGAGCCCTACCGGCAGAAGTACATTTAGGAATCCTACCGGTGAAATACATTCCAGCTTTTCCGTAATTTTCTCTCGAGCTTGCAAAGTTGCAACATAATTTTGTCCAATATGTCATAACGGGTGGAGGAGGTGGAATGAGGAATTACTTACTGGACTTCAAAATTGTTCACGACAGGTCTTCTACTGATTAATTTGCAGGAAGAATGATTAGATAACAAATTTTTGCGGAATTACTGGGCAAGGAAAGAAAGAAAAGTGCAGCTTGAGTTGCGAAAGTCGCTAAATTTCATCGAAAAGTTTTCGGACTTGCTTCCATCGCTGTGTTCATTCTTTTACTAGTCCGCACAGCTAAGCTTTCTGGG